GGTTCGTACTGCAGAAATGGGCCAGCAATAGTGAAGAATTGATGGAATGGATGAAAAGTGAAGTACAGGCTGGTAAAGTGGGTGAAGCTATTGCAAATACTGGGCAGGAAGCTGGAAAAACAAACAGAAAAATCGTAATAAAAGCAGATATAATAACAAAAATTTTGGGTCTTACCTGGGATAGGCATAGTGATACCTTTACGTACGCAGTGCAGTTGGCTCCACTCGGTGAACCTGTAACAAAAAGAAAAGTTATATCAGACATTTCGCGACTCTATGATCCTTTAGGCTGGCTCGCCCCCGTCATTATAAAAGCAAAAATATTCATTCAAAAGCTATGGATGTCAGGACTACAGTGGGATGATGAACTTACCCCTCAATTGTTATCAGAATGGATCACGTATAGAAGTGAATTGGGTCTACTCTCAAATTTTGGGGTACCAAGATGGATAAGAACATGCAGTGATGATACAAGCGTACAGCTTCACGGATTCTGTGATGCTTCTAATGCAGCCTTTGCAGCAGTAGTTTACCTGCATGTCCTTGATAAAAACGGAGAAGTTCACGTCCATCTTATAGCATCAAAAACAAAAGTGGCACCGATCAAGCAGATATCGATACCCCGCCTGGAACTGTGCGGTGCAGTTCTCCTCACAAAATTAATAGTGGAAGTCTGTGATGTTTTGAAAATCCCCAAGCAACAAGCACATGCATGGACCGACTCATCGGTAGTTCTTGCTTGGTTAAGTAGCCACCCAAGCAGGTGGAAAGTATTCGTGGCCAATAGGGTATCGGAAATATTAAGCAGCTTAGACAGATCACAATGGTCACATGTGCAATCTAAAGAGAACCCTGCTGATTGCGCTTCACGTGGAGTTATGCCATCCGATTTATGTAAAATTGAAATGTGGAAGACTGGACCTGAGTGGCTTAAAGATAAAACAATAGATTATGGCATTGATACAAAGTGTGAGACTAATACAGAAGAAAAATCGGTAAAGGTTTGTCAAACACTAGCTAGCATGGAGGATAATTCTATTTGGGTAAGATTCTCAACATTGAATAGACTCGTCAGAGTCATGTCATGGTGTAGAAGATTTATATTACGAAGTACAAAACGCAACTCTGACAGTCTTCCTCAATGGCTAACAGGAAAAGAGTTAAATGAAACTTTATATATATGTATCAAACAATATCAATACCAGAGTTTTAACGAGGAATTAGAAAGTTTAAGAAAGTATGGTATGGTTAAGAAAAAACACAAACTTACCTCTTTAAATCCATTTATCGATGCAGCAGGCATAATGCGAGTAGGTGGACGTTTGAGTAGAGCGATGGTAAGTCACGATAGTAAGCATCCAATTATTCTTCCATCAAAGTCACATATGACAAGTTTAATAATTTCTGAAGCACACTTAAGAACTATGCATGGGGGTCCTCAAATAATGATAAACTACTTAAGATCGAAATATTGGATAATTGATGCTAAAAGTCAAGTGAAACGGTTTGTACGTAGTTGCGTAGTATGTGTTCGTCATGCAGCCCGTACTCGAGAACAATTGATGGGACCGTTACCAGCTGCCAGAATTACTCCTAATAAGCCTTTCAAGCAGAGCGGCATAGATTATGCTGGTCCCACCAACATCCGAGCATCAAAAGGCCGTGGTCATCATGCATACAAAGGGTATATATGTTTGTTTGTATGCATGGCGACCAGGGCCATACATCTTGAAGTGGTTAGTGATCTCACAGCCAAAGGATTCATCGCCGCCTTTAAAAGATTTGTAGCAAGACGAGGTCACTGTTCTGAGCTCTTTAGTGATAATGGAACTAACTTTGTAGGAGCAGCTCGCGAACTGAAATCTCTTCTCGCTGAAGAGCGATCTGCTTTGGTACCAGAAATAGCACAATGGTTGGCCTCCAACGGCACCGAATGGCATTTTATACCACCCCACTCTCCTAACTTCGGAGGGTTATGGGAAGCTGGTGTAAAGTCCACCAAGCACCACCTACGGAGAGTAATAGGAACGTCGACACTCACATTCGAGGAGATGAGTACAGTGCTGGCTCAAATTGAAGCATGCCTCAATTCGAGACCCATGTCATGTGTCAGTACTAATTCTGAGGATCCAATGCCGTTGACACCCGGACACTTTTTAGTCGGCGAGCCCATTATGTTAGTACCAGATGCCAATTACATGTCATCCAATGTTAGTACCTTGAGGAGGTGGCAACTTACTCAACGTATGGTTCAAGAGTTTTGGCGAAAATGGTCGCAGGAATACCTTGCACAGTTCTTGCACAGGTATAAGGGGAGTTACCAAACACCTGAACCAAATATAGGGGATATTGTGTTAGTGAAGGAAGATAACCTTCCTCCTGCAAGGTGGCTTTATGGCATCATAACAAACAAACATACAGGCTTGGACAATGTTACTCGTGTAGTAAGTCTAAGATGTAATGGTAATGTAATTAAGAGACCAGTATCAAAACTATGTATTTTACCAATTGCTAAGTAACGTTCAAAACATTTTTTTTGCATTTACATAATATGTTTTCATAGAACAAGCTGTTTATATAATGTGTTACTTTAGCATGTTTGTGAAGTTCAAATTATCCAATTTCCAAAAGTATCCAATGCCCACCCACTGTTTATATTGTTATGTATTTTGCTGTTTTATTTTTAGTGTTTGTTGTTTTTAGTTAGGTATTATTTAATGAACCATTGGTTCATGGTGGGCGGTATGTTCGAATAAGCATTAAAAAATATATTACAATTAGTAGTTATAACATTTGCCACTAGATGGCGCTGTACCATTATGAATCGCGCTAAACTTTCGCGTCAGTGTTGTAGATATAAGGAATTGGTAACAAATAAATCCTTCTTGTTTTTCGCCTTGGACACAGTTTTGTCTTTTTTATTTCATCTACGTATTCAAAAGCTAAAAGCGCGAGAAACCCTTTTCATTTTTTATGTGGGATCTGTACACTAGGGCAACGGATAAAATAGGTAGCCATTAGTACTGATACATAATATAGAAGTAAGTAGTTTTAACTGCTATTTTTTTAAACATCCATGGCAAATGCTCGTATTCATCATACTAACATTTGACCCATCGAGATTCGCACCTCCGCTGAGTAGGCCACACTCATAGAGCAACACACACTAGGCAGGGGCCTAGTGTGTGTTGCTCTATGGAGGGCCTAGTAGTAGTCATAATGCCAATACTACTGAAATCATTCTGCCGCTTTTTGCGGGAGGAGGAATATGCACACAAATACAGTCCAACATACTTTCGCAATAATTTGAGATAGTATTACAGCAAGTTACATAACATTTTGGCATTTTTGATCTCAAAACATACACTCGCGCGACTTGACTCAGCTAGTGAAGCGAAATATCCGAGCTCAACTAGTTTTGTTTTTGAGCCGGTTAAACAGCGCGAAGAAAATCGACAGAGGGGAACGCTGTGAATGCCTACTCCCGGCTCCCACTCCTACTCAGCATCCGGGCCGCGTCAGCCGTGTTGCTCTATGGCCACACGTTAAAACCCGGCGTAATACACATGAGTAAAGAAAGTAGTACAGTCCGTACAGAGACAAAGCTTCATACAACCGCGCTGCGATCGTTCTACTACTTCGCAAGACGTGCGTGTGTGAGTGAGCACTGGTTGCCATTAGAGTTGTTCAAAGTAGCTATAAAGCAATAGCGTGCTGCAAACTATATGCTACTTTTAAAAAGCGCGCTATTATATACGCTATGTTAATAGCGCGCTATTTACTTGGAAGCTTGTGGCGGTCCGTTACCACGTTAAATCTTGCAGCACGCTAGACGCTAGATATCGTTGAGTTTTATTATGTATTGCGTCACAATCTCGCAGGATCCCGGGTTCGATCCCTGGTCGGGTCAACTAATACAATTACTATTTTTATTTCTTTTATTTATTTTCACACGTCTAGATTATTGTTGTACCGCCATTTTTTCCGATTCCTTGGCACAAAAGCTTTAGCTAACTAATTTTAAATATTGTAAGTAATGTTTTACAATATTTATTTATTTTGATATCGTCTTTTATATATGCGGTTATTAATAGTTTATTTCGTGATCACAAACACAAACTCTTATAAAAAATAATGTTAGAAACCACGCAATCTATTTATCGCCCGCGATAATAGTTTTCCTGCTGCGACGCGACGCACGTTGCGAAAACTAATAGTAACGAACCGCTGCTCTCAACGCGCACGCGATTACTGGCTGGCCTGCCTGGTAGCCTCGCGTCTAGCGCCTCCCGCTGCCCGCTGCCGCGCGCGGTCAATCAACTCAATATGTGCTATATAGCGTTAGCGTCTTGTAGCTTTATTAAATAGCACGCGATACGTGCTATGGACAAATAGCGCGCTATAATATGGCGCTAGACGCTATATTAACCACCTCTGGTTGCCATGCAGTCACACACACTTCAGTGCCAGTACTCAAGTGCAGTGCAAGTGTTGCAAACCAGCAGTTAAGTGCTTAAAGGTGTAAATGATAACATTATAAAGAATATGTATTTTTTTAAATTATCATTTAGACTCCACAATATAAGTAGTAAGTTTGCTTTATTATATTTATGTTTTTGTGTGGTTAATACACCTGCATATTATCAATAGGATACCTTTTACATATACTTCAACATCATAAGAAATGTTATTGATGGTGTTTTTTTTTTCTGTTGGCAGGATTTTATTGAGTGTGGTTGGCATCATAATTTTATTATTCTCTGATTCATTCATAGCGATTTTGTGATGTAAAACTGGTGTGGTAGAAAATACAGTTGTCGATTCTGGCATGATTCTATAAACTTAAAACTAAAAACATCAGTCTCTCCTTTTTATTTCGTATAGAGAATGACAAGGATGCACTGTTGTCAAATTTAAATATAGGTTTATAAAATCATTCCAGAATCGACACCACTTTACCATAATAGATGTGTGATTGGTTGTGGCAGTATGACTGACTATTCTTTGTCTTTTCTTAAAAGGCGAAAATAACAATAATAACTTTGACATATTGTTGACGTTGACATATTTTTGTTTTGTTTGTTTACATGACGTGCAACAAATTTATTTTTATTTAATTTTATTTATTATCAAGTTTATTGGAAAACCAAAAATAATCCAGATAGAAGCTTGACGGGATTTTTTAAAACGTGTTCGTATAAAAAAGTTGGTGGGCTACAAAAATCTTCAAATTATGGAATTCCCAACTCTTGGCGAGCATTGTCAGCACGAAGGTTGCAACCAGACCGACTTCCTGCCGCTTCAGTGCAAATGCGGGAAGGTGCTTTGTCGTGTCCACTTCCTCGGACACTGCCAGTCGAGCGAATGTGAGTTGGCGCCGCCACCGCGAGAAGTTAACCTCAAAAGCGATGATCAAATCTTTAGGTGCTCAGAAAAAGGTTGCAGAAAGGGTAATTTACACGAAATGCTATGCGCAAAATGCAAGAAACATTATTGTATCGATCACCGTTTCCACCTGTGAGTATACTTTACCAAAAAATCTAATAATGAAATGGAAATGTATGCTATGTTCTATTGAAGAAAATAAATAATTCAATCAAAATAGATTTTATATTAAATGTTTATTTGCAGTACATGTCCAGAAATAGATGATAAGACGATGGCAGCTAAAATAGAGCAATTTGTAGCACCCAGGAGGCAATTCCATGAAGCCAACAAACATTTACAAGAGAAGGTATCTTATTGTATTATATTTATATAAAAATTTGGTATTGTAAATTAAGAGTCTCATCATCCTCATCATCATCAGCCTATTAATGTCCCCACTGCTGGAGCACAGGCCTTCCCTATGGATGGAATAGAGAGGTTGGGCCATGACCCACCACGCGGGCCCAGTGCGGATTGGCGGGTGCTAACGACTGCAGATGCATCAGGGACCAACGGCTTAACGTGCCTTCGGAATCACGGAGGAGCTCAAGGTAGTAAATTTTTGGTCACCCATCCAATGACCGACCACTGCGAAAGTTACTTAACTTCAATGATCGCAGCCGAACGCGCTAACCACTTGCGCCATCGAGCTCCACTAACAGTCTCAGCAGACATTAATTCCTTAATTAAAAAGGTATTCTTAAGAAAATGTTTTGTTTGCAGATCACTGAAAATATCAGAAAAGCATTACAGTCATCAGCAAAAGTGAAAACAGCGTCTAAAATACATCTTATGAGAATAAAACAAAAAGCTGTTGGACCTAAAAGTGTCTCTCCATCTGAAAGAGTATACTTTGCCATAGGCAAACCCAAAGATATGGAACCAAAAGATGTGAAGATTGTTGATGATATTGACAGTTTAGTTAAGATAGAAACTGTAACTCTAGATCCAGATTTGAAAGATTCTGTACCTGTATTTATTTGCTGCAAATGGAGTCTAGGCAGAGCCATAGATAGTATATGTGATTCTTGTAATATAAATAATGATAATAACAAAATGGGAAATGTTAAACTAAGATTATTTAGACAATTGGATGGTTACTGCATAAGTCCTGTTAAAATGGATCTGGAAATTGGGGATTTAATGAAACAAGATATCTTGTTAGAGGGAGATAAGCTGCTTATAGAATATATAAACAATGAAGTATTAAGTAAAATAGATGAAAATACTCATTTATTTTTAAGATAGTGGAAAAAATATTTTATTAGAATGAAAATATTTTCAGAGTTATAATAAGTATATGTTTTATTTTCTTACTTAATATCAGCATTCAACCTACATTAATTCAAAACAATTTTTATATTTTTTGAAAAAAATTATATGTCTAAAAGCATATGTCAGAAACCTTTCGGCCTTAACACTCGGAAGCCAGAGGCGGAGCGAAGGAGGTTGAGAACGCGTTGCTGATGTTTACACACTGCCGATTTTCCGGACCTGGTGGTGGCAGACGCGGACGCGGTTCCTTCTGTGTCAGCTCGCGTGTTTTGTAGAGAAAGTTTCCAAAATGTCCGAAATCATTTGTAAATATCACGATTCCATGAAAAATTTTGTAAAAAATTACAATTGTTTTTTTTTTGAGTGTGTGTGCTGTTGGTCGCAGATGACCTTTACAGCGTCACCGGGTTCCGGCGAGATCCTAAGGGGACCTCAAGCTAAGAATTGGCGAGTGCCTCTAGAGGTATTCCAGACGGATGGCGTCACCCCACGGGAGGAGTCTCCTCCGTCTGGAGCCTCTAGGCCACTCGAACCTGAGGGGGTCGGCTCAACAACAGCGTCTCTGAGACTCGAACCTCGGCTCTAGTTAGCCGTTGTCGCAAGGGCGGATCCAGCTTTGGTGCCAAGGCGAGGGTCATATAGTCGTGGTCAAGTCACAGTGGGTACAGATTGTGAAGTGGGTACAGATGGACCCAGCCCGGGGGGGGGGGTCATGACCACCCCCCTGGATTCGCCCTTGCGTTGTCGTGGTGTCACACAAAGCAACGCGCCGCCGCCGCGCCGTTGCTCTGTGTGAAGTTGCTCTATACACTACAAGGAATACAAAGGTCACGGCGCACGCCCTTGTCCGGCACCTCACAGCAGCCTCCGCCACGCGCCACGCACGCCGCCTGTTTGTGTCGCCGGTGTCCGCCCTGCCACCGCGCCGTCTAGTCACCGGCTTAATAAAACATGTTGATCTACGCAAATGATGGACTTTGGTTCATAGAGCAATAAAATTCCTTCCCCGCCCCCCACGACTACGGACTTACTAGTAACGAGGTCCGAGTCTCAGAGGCCCTCTAGTTGAGCCGACCCCTTCAGGTTCGAGTGGTCTAGAGGCTCTAGGCGGAGAGGAGACTCCCCGCGTGGGGAGATGCCATCCACTTGGAATACCCCTAGAGGCACTCGCCAATTCTCGGCTTGAGGTCCCCTTAGGATCTCGCCGTCCCCAAACCCGGTGACGCTGTAAAGGTCATCTGCGACCAACAGCATACACAGTCAAAAAAAACCTCAATCGTGAAAGAGTGTCCGCCGAGAACTTACCACGGACTCAACGCAGCCGATGTGCAGGACATTTATTGCTCGTAAAATTTAAGAGAAGCGCATGCTATGGAAGCAAATATTCTGAGATAGGTTGTGTTGTAAATGTGGACAAAAGTTCCTCGTCTGCGCAGGCTATTATGGTTATTTGGAATCTCACGTTGTTTCTGAGGTAATTTTAGTATCGAATTTTATTGTTATTATTTAAGAGTTGGCAAAATGATCTAAAGAAAATTTTAATAGAAAAAAATTCCACGCGCTCTACGTAGCAGACGGACTCGAACCCGCACCCTCCGTTATCCGGGTGGATGCTCTTACCGTTATGCTTCCTTAGCCCTAATGGCCGTGTCGAATTTTCAATAGTATTACTTAGGCTGCAAAGCAGAGCCATCTCTTCGCATTGTAGGTAAACAACAATGTTTGGCAAATAGATTTTTAATTGGGAACCTCGCCTCATTCACGTTGCTTGGCACGGCGATGTATCGGGAGAGCAGAACGTATGAAGAGCTCTTTACCTCACTGTTGCTAGGGACGCTCTGGCGGTTACTACCCGCATTGCAAACCCAAATAAACAAAGCCGAACCTATCCCACATTGCTTGTTCTCACGCATGCGTCAATTTGTAGGTCACGTTTCCTACCAGCCTTTTCACTAGGAATGTAGTTGAAGAGTTGAAATTTAGGTGGCCTAGATTTGGAATTTGCTCCAAGCTATCAGTCTTCCCAACTTGTTTCTATCTGCGTGAACATAACAATCTTCAGCGGAGTAAATGAAATACAAGGCACTTAATAAATACTCTTATAATTATAAAAGCAGTTATAATATAATGACTAATAAACATTACAAGTAAACTTAGCCTAAAATAAAGCATCACCATTTTCTTTGCTGACTTGCGATTGAGTACGATTATATTCCACCAGAGGTACGAGAGTGGCCGGGTTCGCCGACGGGTTAGTGTGGGCCGTCGGAGGAGGCGTAGTGGCCAACTTGTATTTTTCAACTAACCAATTAAATTTGCCGGTTCGTGCGATGAGCATCATGAAGTCTCTGCGATACTGCTTCGTTAGTATCGCGTACAGGAATGGGTTTGCGACGGCGTTCAGCGGGTAGAAGAATACGAGCAAAACCTTTCCGTGACTGACATCGACCAACGGCGCCCCGGCCAGTGCCGTAACGCCGAAGAACGCGACGGGCGCCCAACACAGTAAGTTAGTGCCTATCAGCATGGCCATCTTGTTCGCGATGCGTCGTTCCGCAGCGGCTGCCGCGCCTCTGCCGCCATACTTTTCGCCGCCACCCCCAAGAGATCTATATATTTGCACGTAGCACACCACGATAGTAAGCCACGCCACAGCGTTAGTCAAGAACAGCGATCCTTGGTAAACGCCTTCGCCGACGTTTCTACTCTCGACCGGCAAGCAGATGGAAGTCGACGAGTAATCCGAAACTCCCGCCAGTGGAAGACCCGCCATGACAACGGAGAACAACCATCCTCCAATCATTATCTTCGCCGCCGCACTCAACGACATGCGGCGCTCCAGATATATAGCATACGTAATCGCGAACCACCTCTCCGACGTGACCACGCTCAGCGTAAACACGGACAACTGGCCGGAGAATACGGATAAGAAGCCGGCTATCTTGCAGCCGACGCCGTACTGCCAGTCGTAGGCGTAGTTGAAGAAGACGCCGTAGTAGCGGAGGTCGACGACCGCCAGCATGAAGAGGTAGAGGCCGGTGCAGAGGTCGGAGAAGGCGAGGTGGCACATGAGGAAGCGCGGCACGGTGAGCTCGGAGGTGGCGGCCAGCAGGACTATGAGCACGGCGAGGTTGCCCACCACCGCCGCCGTCACCACCAGCCACACGCTAACGCGCAGCCACGTCCATCCCATCACGTCCTCGCATGGGTTCAACGCGTTCGGCTTCGGAGTACACTCCACGGTGCGCTTGCTGTGGAATATAAATGCTCCTGGTTAATTGCTTGATCAAAAAGACATTGGCTGTAAAATTTACTATTAAATTTTTAAATTGACATTCAACGTGGCAATGCTGCCGGCCTTTTGGGCACCGTCCCTGACGGCGGCGCTGGGGGTGACATATTTTTTATATTGTAAATCAGATATTATTAGTAAGTCGGTTAAGGTAATTTGGATTCAAATTTTATACATCAGATAGTATTTAACTTGTTAAAAAATAAATTTTCTCTATAAATTGTAATACTTAGGTACTGCAAAATAAATAAAACCCACTTTTTAGTTCTATTCTAGTCTATGTGATCAAATATGAGATTTAATGAATGTCATGTCTATTATCGAGAAATTATACCGCAGTTTGCTATGTTGAGCCGTAAGTAAAGAAAAACGTTGAATGCATCAGCTGTTATCTTCTCATCAGATAGTCAAAGCCTATCAACGTACAGGGCATATTTGAAAACTGCTGTAGGCGTTGTACTGGCGACCTATTGTTTCAAGATAACATCTTAGACCTAAAATATGCCACACGTGACGTTGCGTCGTTGAGGTGTGGCTATGACGAGCAAAGTTTTTGCGTAAGAATATTAAATTTATTACGCTCTAAGTATCTGCACCGTTTTTGATCTGCCAATCCCGCTAGGAAATGTAAATATTCAACTCAGCAATAGTTCCGCGATCTGATACTGTGAGTATTGTGTGTCGGCAACTGGTGCGAGTGAATAGTGAGAATGTGACCAGTGGTAGGGGTATCGAGGGTATCGAGCGCAGTAAAAGACGACGTCAGAGGGTAGACCGATATGTCTGCCAATAACATCTACCTGCAATTACTTCAGTTACTCCGTGATCATGGCGCTTGAAACAGTGCCGAAATATCGGAGACTCATAAAAAACAAGGTACATGGTAACAATCCCGTTAATAGCTATAATGTTAGTGACCATGAAAGTTTAAAACAAAATATCCTAACATTTCGTTTGTCTCGGTAAGTGTGATTTTATACCAAATAAATAAATAAAAAACCGGCCAAGTGCGAGTCGGACTCGCGCACCGAGGGTTCCGTACAAACCTGCAAGGTTTACAAAGTTCGTTCATTACGACAATCGAGTCATAACTATGGTATTTTTATTGCAAAATGAAATTCATAACATTACAATGGGGAAAGATGGAGGAGCATAAATTTAAGACAAAGATCTCTTTATCGTTTAAGTAATCCTTTATTTTATATTAACACATATCATTTATCTATAATATAACTGAAACACTTATACTAGCCTTGCAGCAGACTTGCGAAAGTTCTTTTATTAAAGTTATTTATTTACTAAGTTTTTTAGTCACTATTTCGAAATCTGGTTCAAAAATATTAATTAAGTATTAAATTTGAACCAGACCTGTAAATGGTGACTGAAAAAGTTATGAATAGTACCACATTGAACATTGAAGTTCGAAAAAACGTTATCAATAGTTGTACAACTTCGTGTAGTGCTACTGTTTATTAACGGAAACATGTTTATGGATGAAAAATATGTGGAAATTCCATTTTGGGGATTCATTCTAAAATCTATATTGAAGTCTCCCACAACAATCAGACGAGAAGATGAAGTGTACATATTGAGGTTGCTGCCAAATATTGTTGTATTTATACATTCTATTGCAACATTAACACTTTAAGCAGTTAGGACGCATTTAGATTATACAGCTACATTCACCAAAACATCGGGATTGAATGACGATGAGTGAGGTCGTCTTTGCCGTTTGAAAAATGTTGCCCTCCCCATACATAGTATAATAACTCGCGGTCATTGCTGTAACTACAATTATGTTTACAATCACAATTTTTTTGGTGGTATAACTACTTAAAATTTTAAGCTTTTCGGAATTTTTCTGTTACCTGTGCTGTAAGCTATTGCTTCTTACCAAATTTCGAGATTCTATGTCAACGGGAAGTGGTCTTTAGGTTTTAATTCCCTTGCGTGTAGTTGCGAGTTTCAAAATATGCGGTATCAATGGTTGTACTTTTGCGTTTTGCGTTTTTGCGTTGACTTAGAATTTTTTTTTTTCACGGGTTAAAGGCAATTAGATCTAAGTATTTGATATGAATTTCAACTTGATAGCTCTACGCGTTCATGAGGAAAAAAGTAATAAGTTTATATTTATTAAAAAATATATATTTTGTAATGTAACTAAAAATTTAAGGTTTTCGGAATTTTTCCTTTATGTGTGCTATAAAACGTTGCTTCATGCCAAATTTCAAGATTCTAGGTCGACTGGAAGTACCCTTTAGGTTTTGATTCCCTTGCGAGTACTTGCGAGTTTCAAAATATGCAGCTTAAATTGCTGTTTCTTTTGATTGCGTTGACATAGAAGTTTGATTTTGTTACAGCTTAAAGGTATTATAGACCTGAGTATTTGGTATGAATTTCAATTTAATACCTCTACGCGTTTATGAGGAAATGGGTAGTAAGGTTAAAATTATTAAAAAAAAATATATTATGTGATGTAACTAAAAAATTATGGTTTTCGTAATTTTTCCTTTATCTATGCTATAAGACGTTACTTGGTACCAAATTTCAAGATTCTGAGTTCACAGGAAGCACCCTGTAGGTTTTGATTCCCTTGCAAGTGTCGAAAATTTGCGGCATAAACGGCTGTATCTTTTGATTGCGTTGGCTTAGAAGTTTGATTTTTTCACAGCTTCAAGGGACAGCAGACCTGAGTAATTGATATAAATTTCAGCTTCATACCTTCATACCACGCGTTCCTGAGAAAAAGGGTCTTGACAGACGGACGGACGGACAGACGGACAACAAAGTGATCCTATAAGGGTTCCGTTTTTCCTTTTGAGGTACGGAACCCTAAAAATAAATAATATAAATAATTGATACCTTATAATGAGAGCTTCACAGTTGTACGAGAACTGTGGCTTGGTGGAGTTGGCCTCGACGAGGTCATGGAACTGGTCGTCATCCTCGGAGCTGTCGGAGTCGAACATGTCAGGGTCCCCCTTGAAGCCGTACTCCTCGTTAGTGGCCGACGTTGAGTTGTCATCGTAGTCCCTAGAAGATACAATGTCTTATTATTTTTTATTAGGGTCAGGGGCGTATTACCCTCGAGATTGCGTGGCGTGGCTGCAAGAGCTACTATGGGCAGCAGAAGCCATACAAAAGAATTCAGTCATTCATTCCCGTGTCCTTCATTTGTCAGGCAGGTTTTACAGCCAAACGGCTGAAACTATAGTATTGAATTGACCCCGGAAATACCCATTGAGTGGAGTATTGTTGTTTAGAACTCGTTTAGTAAATAAGGAAGGTAATTTTTCGTTTGAAAAAAGCATTGCAAAACCAAAGAAAGCGGCGAGTCAGATATTTATAAAATTTTGTTACGAAGATTTTTTTTATCATTTCCTTTTACCAAAATAAGCAATTATTATTAGGCTCTGTTCAAGACTCTGAGACTGTGAGTACGTAAATTTACTTTGTAATTATTTATTTTGTAATTACAAAGATACTGATACTCCTCAGATATTGTACCCACTTAACTTACCATTTATCGTCTTTCACAGTTTTTTTTATCGCTCCTAAAGATCGTTTTTTGCGCGTATCTGAAGTTTTCTGCTTACCGCAATTCTGTGGAAGAGAACAGAAACTAAATAAGTGAATGAGAATCTATATTTTTCAAAAAATACCAAGAGGAGCTTGATGCTTATCACGATAGGATAGGTGTACTATCAAAAAAATATCATTTGAGGTCCTCCGGACTGTGTACAAGTAAACTCTTAAGATTTCTCTAAAACACCAACAAGTGGTTTGACCTTCTTATGGCGCCCAACATGGTACATAAAAATTCAAATATTATTAAATCTTTCTTATTTATAACGATAAATGCTCACCTGTTTCAAATGTGCGATCTGGACCTCGTAGATCTTGTGTCTCTCAGGATCGTGGCGCTCGGGGAAGGCAAACGCGCAGCAGTGGAAGTGGTGCGTCAGACGGGCTTCCTTCAGTTGCTGTAGTTGTGAACTCTATTTCATTATTACAGTTTTTTTTAACTAAAGCAATTTTTACCGAAATGTATTTAAGTAATTGTCTTGAATAGAATTCAATCCTGTTTTTTTTATTTTATTCTGGTAAAAATAACATGTTTCAAAAATGCTGAAAGGCTTAGTGTACATGTATTTAATATTTTTTATGTAAAATTTGCAGTCCGTAGACTTATTCGCAAGGGATCAGATTTTACGAACGAACGTTTTTTGCAAACGCTTATGAGGTGGAATTTAAAAAAATCCCATCTTATTACTTCTCTACGCAATAATAGGAACCTATTGTTAAAATTTCATCATTGTAGGTCAGCCGTTTCGGCTATGCGTTGATGAGTCAGTAAGTCTGTCAGTGTATCCTTTTCTCTCTTTATATAATAGTATAGATTACCTACTTAAATCATTATTATTTTGATGAAGATAATAAGTAAGGTACTCAGATAATCGAGTTTCTAAATGTAATGCAATGAAGTTTGAAATTAATTAAATTTTATTAATTACTAGTGGCTTGCCCTCGCTTCGCTTCGGTGTAGAGCTGTAGTGTATACTAAAATTACTCTTCAGAATTATAATTATAAAAAAAAAGCTAAAAATGGTATATTTGCCTTTTCCAAACTTCTATTGACATCACGTCACTCAATTGTTTATGCCTTCCCGGGACCTCTCCACTAATATTTGAAATTTATGGTATGGTTTTAAAGTTCAAATTGACTTTTAAGTATTATTACGAATCGTTTGTATGGGAGTATAGAAAAGTGCTGTTTTTGGACTTTTTCAGGCAATTTTTTAAAAAATTCTCCGTGTAAGAACCATACTCGTACTTCAAGGAATATTCTAAAAAAAGAATTATCGAAATCGATTCAGCTGTCTCGAGATTTGCGCTTAGCAACACATTCATTAAGTCATTTGCCTACCTAATTATAAAAAAAAAAATCAGCGTTTCGTTTTTATATTATAGATCTTGCCTTTGAAGAAGAAAATATAAGTTTTGTTTATTGGCATTGAGAGCAGTCTAATACCGGCCGAGTGGAATTTTGTTTAGCCATTTTTTAAGATATGAAAATCTAGATTAACATTTAAATTAAAAATATATTAACAACATGATGAGTTTATTACCCGTAAGTCGTAGATCGACGGAATGTATTTAAGGGTGGGGGTTTTTTCTATCTTCAGGACTTGTAGGTTCTCTAGGCCCACTATAGGTAGAGTACTAATGGCTGTGCTGCTCAGATCCCTGCAAAATATTTTCCATTACAATTTTATACACAAAGATTTTAGATAAAAACAAATAAGGGAAGATACGGTACCCTCATACTAGCATAAAACAAAATATGATTCCGACTCAACTACATGAGCGACTCTCACACACGCACACTTCGTATATAAATATTCAATCGAGCGAGCGAGACAGAATTGTACGCTTCAACGCAGCGCGAGCGAAGCGGAGTTCGCTTTGCAGCCGACTGTGTTTTGTTTTCTCTCTCTACAGACGGCTGAGTTGTATTTTTGTCCTTTCCTTGATAAAAAATGACGAATCAGTAACTAACTATCATAGCAAACGGTGATTTTTGAGAAAAAAAATTGTTTTTATAGTTTTACGAATGAAAAGTGTTGGCGTGGCATTTATTATTTGATCTTGAACTATTTGGGTTCGTTATTTTATAAGAATGGAAGGCATTGTTTTATCTTTATAACAAATGTATGCAATATTGTGATATTGAGTGCACATGCATCGTGTTTGCATGTTTAATTGTGACTGAAGCGAGTTGTGGCCATGCACCACAATTTAAGCGGATCACTTTCGAGCCGCGAGTGCAGTATCTTCTCTTTATGTTTTAATCTATGCGCTTGTATGTTTGGTTATGTTTTTTGAAAATGTTTTCACTCACAATTGTCTTAACAAAAGTATTCCAGCGAATGCGTTTTCGTCCAACTGACTCAACTTCGTGTTCCCTTTGAAGCTCCTGTAAATAAACATTTATTTTTGAAACTGTCTGGAAAATACAAACAATCACAAGTTACTCCACACGCTACCCAGTGGTGTTCAGTTGGACAAAGGCATTTATCATGTCTATGTTGTGTCTAAGATATTAATCATTATCATTGCGAAAACAAAATTTATTATTATTTTTAAGTAAAGTAATTGTTTAACCATGACTCGCTTTATTGGTAAACTTAATATGATAATTAAAGAGAACTCACAATTTTGAAATTACTGCATTTTTAAAAGCGTACGCAGGGACCTCCTCGATTAGGTTTAGATTCAGCGACCTGAAAATTATTAGATTATGTACTCGTATTTAGTCCGATGAAGAAAGTTAAACTGTGTGTGACGCGTCGTTACATTTTTTGAGACTGAGATATCGTTGAACAAATAAGCAAGATTTCGATACCAAAGAATTCATCGAGGTAATTTTCCTTATACAACATCTTACCCCACCGAGAAATCTCTGGTAACTTATTGTAGTCATTGAAAACACCTTAGGATAATGGTATTATCATATCTATTTAGGTGTCTGCAAATTTCTGTAAAGTAGAGATTGCAGTGTTGAGGTGTGTAGAGTATTTTGGTAAACTTGGACATTTAATTTTAATAATTAAATTTGCCCCGATGTATGTATTTTGAATATTACTTCTGAGAAAAGGCGTCGCCAGCTTATGATTAGGAAGTCAATTGCTCGCAATTTAGTCGCTTTGCAGCATTTGATTTCTAGGGAGGGGCAACTGCCCCTGCCCTTGCCCCTGCGACCCCTTGGCGACGCCTTTGGCTCTGAGACATATACGTATATTAGTGACGCTCATGGGAGCATGAGATGGTTGGATCATCGTTTGGTCACTGAGTCGGCTTTCCAGTGTGTCACAACTGTCAGTGTAATGTATGATGTCTAATATTGATCTGTCAATTTTCCATTATTCATTAGTTGCAAATTAGATTTGATACCACGCAAAGTATTGTTTTCAAATTCAACCCCTAATCGCATTCGGTGGGAAGTAAGATCGAATGGACAGGTGGACAAATTATGCAATGAAAATTTTAGAAATATTGATTTTCCTTTGAATTTCCAAAGCTGTTGTCATTACCATTGTAATATCAATTTACACAACATATGTATATATTGATAACTTATATAATAGAATAATATCCGTGCTGAGCTCTTCTGCGTCTGAGACCTACAATGATAAATGTAATCGTAGTAAGCAATAAAAAAAACACGTTTGTACTGCTCGCAGGAAGGCTAGGTCCAGTTTTCTTGTTTGGGTTGAGTGTGGTAAGCCAAAAGTGGCAGAGTTTATGAGGAAATGGCTTAGACTCGAAAAATATTAAAGGGAAAATTGAAATGGTGTCAAAATCATCAAGAACAAATTAAAATGGATGCCCTTGCCACCTACCATAGGAATCATGACTTTGGAAAATTCAGGAGGTATAGCCATAACCAACCTGTTTAAGAATCACTTTATTGTAAAATCACCTTTGATCGAGTTCAAGTCCATGCTCGATGCTGAGTGAGACATATTGTGACCCTGTGAGTTTAATAACAGGCAATGATACTGAAAAAGTTATTAAATCTTTGACTCTTTGACATTGAAACGCGGGACCGCACTTATATAAATTGCTGGCGCTGTTGTTTAAGTTCAAGCAAACTATCAGGTACTACTACACGGATAGAAAGACGTACGCCTGTTTTTGGGACCTATCCAGGGCTTTCGATCTGGTTGACTACAGATAAATTGGAGGGGGTGTGGTTATCCCTCAGACTTAATATCTTTTTTCGTTTAAGTTCTGGTACGGGAACCAGGCAAATTGTGTGAAATGTACTGGTGTTCATTCGGAGGAGTACAGGTTAGAATGTGGGGTTAGGCAAGGGGGAAGAACTTGACCCCGATTATTTAATCTGTACATCAACGCGCTGATTGAGGAGCTCAGCAGTAGATGTGTCGGCCGTCACGTAGGGACTGTTTGCGTTAATAATATCAGTTACGCGGATGATAAAGTGTTGCTGGCTCCTTCGATCAGTGCTTTGAGAATGCTTTTGAATATCAGTGAAATCTATTCAACCAATCATGGTTTATCTTATAATACCAGTAAAAGTGTACACATAGTTTTTAATGCTCACGAAAGACTTCTGAAACCGTGTCCTCTGAAAAACTATATGGATTTGATCTCTGTGGAGTTACGCAATTTAAGTCATTTTGGTATTGATACTTAAAAGGATGACGCTCTTCTTGAAAAAGAGCTAAGGGCATTGTCTAAGAGGGCAAATATGCTAGCCTGTAGGTTTGCTCGATGTTCTGACACTGTAAAAATCACTCCTTTTAAGGTTTTTTGTACATGTTTCTACTCGAGTAGCCTATGGGTTAATTTTACCCGAAAATCATATAAATTCCTTCGTGTCCAATACAATAATGCCTTCAGGGCACTGCTGCGGCTGCCGCAATATTGTTGTGCTTCGGGAATGTTCGCAGATGCGCAGGTCGACAGTTTCCCGGCTTTTTTTAGCAAAAAAGCAGGTTTATTGCTCCGGGTTCGCAGTAGCCACAGCAGAGTCGTGAGGGATTTAGTTGATCGTGGGAACTGTCCACTGATGAAAATTTCTGTAGATAGAGCTTTATCGGTTTTTAATATAATTTACTAACAAAGTATTAAGTGTTGTATACTAACACATGGATCTATGTTTTCCGTATGTTTTTCATAATAAATGATTTGAGTTTGATTTAATATTTGGGCTAGCTACTACCTACTATGGTGATGACTTACACATGATCGGCGGAGATTCGGAGCGCGTGCGCTGGTATCCTCCTAATGTGATTGCCTTCCAAATCTCTGAAAACGTTTACCATTTTGTAATAATAATAGTTATTTAGAATTTCGCGACGAAACCGTTTAAGTGACTATGTATAATATTTTTCTCTTTGTTCTGAATGAAACATTTAACTATTTTAGTGATGAAACTAAAGAGTTAGAAGGTGCATTGGCAAAGTATGTTCGGTTTTTCTTCTTCTCCCAGGTGGGGTGAGACTACAGGCGGCTGCAGCGTTATGTCAGACTTGTTGACTTAAACATAGGTACGTGGCCTGACCATATGGGGTCTTCAATTATCGTCTGATGCACAGAACAATTTTTTTGAGGAGCTCGATGGCGCAGGTGTTTAGCGCGTTCGGCTGCGATGGTTGAAGTTTAGCAACTTTCGCAGTGGTCGGTCCGATGGGTGACCAAAAACATCTATCTCGAGTGCTTGGGAAGGCACGTTAAGCCGTTGGTCCCGGCTGCATCTGCAGTCTTTAGCACCCGCCAATCCGCACTGGGCCCGCGTGGTGGGTCATTGCCCAATCTCCCTATTCCATCCATAGGGAAGGCCTGTGTCCCAGCAGTGAGGACATTAATAGGCTGATGATGATGATGCACAGAACACGGTGTGTTCTGTGGTCTGACGCGATAATCCCCTGAGAACGGGATATTGCATAATAGTTATGCCAGCGTTTGTAGAAGTTAAATCATTTTTTCAATGGCCGGTTATCGGTTGCGTAAATAAGAAGAAATATTAATTTGAGCTGAATACTCATAAATTATATCATATATACGGATACGGTGATGAAGGTTTTTTATTTTAATTTATTTTCCACAAAGAAAAACACTTAATATCTATATTTCTGCCAAACTGCAATGCAGTTTGTCGGCAGCAGTTCCCGTGACACCTATATTTATGGTTTTCCCTATTTACAATTTTTTGTCTTTTCTATCAGTACCAAACTTAATAAATACCCTAACTTCACATTCTTCCGATATAAAAAGTATCCTTTTTGTCTCAATCCAGTTGATAAACTATATATGCTTGCTGAATCTAATTAAAATCCATTCAGTAGCTTTTTAGCGCGGTTGAGTATCAATTAATATAATATATAAATTAAACATTTAATTTTGACATACATTAATAAGCTGGTCATGGACATAGTGATAGGTAATGTTTTTTGAGTCTATGCTTAAGACTAATTCTAGTATACTCACATCACTTGCAGATATGGCGTCTTATCCCTCTTAGAGTCGTGGACGTGACTCAGGTTGGGGACCTCCACCAACCCCGATGTGATCACTATACTGAAAAAGTATCATTTTTCACACATCCAGGATATCATTATAATAATTATTGTTCATTATATATATATTTTTTACACTCACGCCAATTAGCCTAGCCCCAAAGTAAGCACTGTAAGGCTTGTGTTATGGGATGCTAGGGTAACGGATAGAATACATATACTGTACATACATAAGTATATTTATATAGAAATACATATTAAACATCCATGACTGGAGTACAAATGCTCGTATTCATCACACAAATATCTGCCCCCACCGGGATTCGAACCCGGGACTTCTCGAGCCGGTGACACCATGAAACCCGGCGTACAAAACCACTCGGCCACGGAGGTCGTCATATTTATCTACTTAGTGGAAAAGGCCTACTCTTTTAATATAAATATTTAAAAAAGCGGCCAAGTGCGAGTTGGACTCGCCCATGAAGGGTTCCGTACCAGTAAGTAACATAATATAAAAGTTTTTGAACGATGTTTTAATAATAGTGTATTTTTTTTATTGATTTGTAATTTATGAAAAAAAAACTACTTACTAGATCTCTTTCAAACTAATTTTCGGTGGAAGTTTATATAGTAACGTACAGTATATACTTTTTCCAGTTTTTCCAGCCTCTTATTTTAGAAGTTACAGGGGGGGGGGGGGGGAGACACACTTTTTACTACTTTGGAAGTCTCTCTCGCGCAAACTATTCAGTTTAGAAAAAAATATATTTAGAAAGGTCAATATCATTTTTGAAGACCTATCCATAGATACCCCTTTAAGGGTACATAATTATGGATTTGATGATTTTTTTTTAGTGTCAGTGCTAAGTATGAACCCCAACCCCAATAATTACTAGTTTTTTTATTTTATTTTTTGTGGGAAAATCTTAATGCGGTTCACAGAATATACTTACTTGTCAAGTTTCAACAGTATAGTTCTTATAGTTTCGGAAAAAAGTGACTGTGACATACGGACGGACAGACGTACATGACGAATCTATAAGGATTCCGTTTTCTACTGTTTGTCTACGGAACCCTAAAAAGCTCTTCTTTTAAGTATTTTCAACGATTCAAAAGAACTTCCATAATTTGATTAAAGTTTCATTTCATATCGACCTTAGTAGATCTTATAGTAAGTTTTTGTAGAGATTTGCGTGTATAAACAAGTTTATTTTCCTGATTGTGACGATACAAAGTTACAAATAAAATATTTTATCCTCATTTGTATTTTTTTAAATCGATAAAGGTTTTATTATGACAAGATTAATGTAATGTAAACTTTGACCGCCTTATTACAAAACGTTGGCTATTTTTCACTTTCGTGTGCTAAAAAGAAGACAGAGATAACATTAAGTTTATACAAGACCGCGTTTTGGAGAAGGCGGCGAAAGTCTAAAGAAATTAAATAAGTGAGAAAAAATACTTATATTTAGAGCCCTTTTACAAAATTGCGCCGCTGCCGTACTGATCGGCGCATAGGAAGATTTGCACTAGTATATATATTGCATTTTACGGGTGATATTTCGAGTCTTATAAAATCATTATTAATGAACTAATTATAAAAATATATACATATTTCAGTAGTTCAACGATGGTAGATCAGTTTTATAAAGTTTCTGATAGTAATTCTATTTAATTCAATATCAAAATACGAGGTAAACCTGCATTATTTTTTGGGAAAACTCACGGAGGTTAGATGTTTTTTTTGATAATTAATGAGATGGAAAACCAAAATTCTAATACATTATGTTACAACAAAAACAAATTTCTGATGTCGTTGTAATTAATTTGATCTAATTTATTGAACATTATTGAGAGATTGAGGCGTTTGAAGTTGTGCATATTATCGTTTCTTCCGTAAACTAGCTGCAGTAGAACGATCAGTACAAAAAGAGGAAAATAGTATTTTAAAATATTCTACGTTAACTTAGAATAGGAAGAATGAATGTACTGTTTACTTATTGTTTTTGGAAATAGTCAAAATCTTTTCTATAGAGGTAAACGAGGCGCTCAAAAATTACAATATTTTGCAAAAAATGTGAAAGGGCTCTCAATATGAATAAAGAAAACATAAAACATTAAAGCGACACATACGTACAATGTGCGCAGTAACGGCAACGGCGGGAGTGGCGCTATGCGTTCAAGCATCGGCGCCTGAGAGATATAGCTGAGAAAAGAAAAGAAGGAAAATTCATTAACTTAACGTAGTAAGTGTCGCCGCACACGAGCCACCGACCACAACTACAAAACGCCGCCACCGGCATATTTCTTGTAGTTTTCATACATTTTATATGGTCTCGCCATACGCTACAAATCGTCGTTGCTCGCTTCTTGTGGCCCGCACCGGCCACTTAATGCGCCGATACAAAACGCCGCCACGCGTCACTCGCGCGATTGCCCACCCCTCTCTCCCTTGCCTTAGTCGGCCGCTGTCGCGCGCTTCAGCCACTTTAGTAGCCGCTTCTAGCTTCTCGTGGCGGCGTTTGGGGCTGGAGCGTGTGGCCCGTGTGCGGCGACACTAAAAGTTTGTAGCACACTTCCTTCCACGTACAGCAGGATTTTCTTTCAAAGAGGCGTTAAAGATTTTTTCTATTAGGTCGGCAACAAGCATGTTTATAACTATATATAACTAGTCTTAATAAAATGAACTAACTAGTTATAAAGAAAATATAACTAGAAAAAAAACCACGCGGACCAAGCAGTAGACGAGAATCGAACCCGCACCCTTCGCAATCCGGGCGAATGCACTGACCAATTATGCTACCACGGCCTTGATGGCCGCGTCGAAATTCTTCTAGCCATTCTTAAGCTGCAAGGCAGCGCCATCTCTTCGCATTATAGGTAACCCACAATGTCAAATAAATACTTTTACAAGTATTAAACATTTGAAAGAAGAAAAACCAATTACAGTTATAATTTTTATTTTTAAGCATGTAACTGATTGATGTTTAAATCTAAAGAAAATATAACTAGAAAAACATCCACGCGGACAAGGCAGTAGACGGGACTCGAAGCCGCACCCTTCGCAATCCGGGCGAATGCACTGACAAATTAAGCTACCTTACCTTTAGATTTGGTAGCATTAGTGGTTATGCTTCTTTAATTTAATAAAAATGGGTTTCAAGTGGAAATAAATAGAGTGAGTTAATTTCATTTTATTACACTTTGATCCTGACTTACATACGGCCACGAATTTAAGAGTCAGTTAATATTACTTCTTTTCGACATTTGGGATGGTATGGTAGTGCCTGCATAGATATTCTGTAAGATGCAATCTTACTTACGATCTCAGTTATTCAGATATCTAACCAATGTCAAATGTATAATATTGGCTGCATCTACAGACATAGCGACATTTTGCCGTGTCATGCGTAATGCATATCAAACTAAAATGGCAGCTACCGAAATAATGAAAGAAGAATGAAGTATGAAATGAAATGATAGTAATACACTAAGTATGTAAAATATGTAGTAAGGACACACATACACCCCCCACCCACACACAAACACCCACACACACCCACAAACACCCACACACACCCACACACCCACACACACACCCACACACACACACACACACACATACACAGACACACACACACACACACACACAGACACACACACACACACAGACACACACACCCACACACACACATACATACATACATAAACAAACACCCACACTCCATAAAGTTATCATGTGACAAATTCCTGAAAACCCTTCTATATGGGTATTTACTGATTGTTTTTTTGTCATTTGTTGTCTTATCCTTATACAATCCTAATTTAATTTTATGTTAGTTAATGTAATGAGTAATGATTTTTATACTATTTTTAAAATTAAATGTAGGTAATATTGATATATAGTAACGCCGTTAGTATCTAATGTGTAGGCACATAATAATTTTCTGTAATTGGCCTTAAGATTGTATTTATATTTTATTGTATTACATCCACCAAAATCGCTGTAGAAACTTTGTTAAAGATAAAAAAATAAATGTTACAGATAGTGCATACCACGCAGATGCGCCCCACCAATTTTTGGTCGAAGGATAATTAGTGATTAAAAGATAATTAGATAATTATCATATTATTATTTATTAGTATCATCGATTATTACTGTGTATAGTGCGATTCAAATAAGAATAGGAGAGCCAATGACCACCATCTGTCAAATGTCGCTTGAAAAGTACGGTTTGAAAAAAAATCTTGGAACCTTTTTTCAGTACTCCGCTAATTCTAGAAAAAAAACAAACATTTGTAAACAAACAATAACAAATATCGATAATTAATATTAGTTGATTTATTGAGCTTTGACTATAAGTGGTTGATAAGCTAAATCGTCAACCAAGTGTCACTTTAAGTTGCGTTCATAAACTCGATTTAAAACTTTCGTTTACATAAAAGATGTATGTTCATATGTGACCTAGTAATAGTGCATGATTATTTATAAGTTCTCCGGCGGTAATGCAGAGATGAGCAGAATTAAGGAGCTAGATTCTGATTAATGTTTTTTCTCACACAGTTTTAATAAATAAATATTATTAAAAATCGGTTGTTTTTTTTCTGAATCTTAGTAAATAAATTTTATTTTAAAAATCTGATGTTTTTTTCTCACTTAATCTTAGTAAATAAGTTTCATTAAATAAAACCTTTTTTTGCTCACGCTACCTATTTGGTTTGAATTGACAGCTATGACGTCACAATATGGCGCCCAGTTGGTCTTATTCTTAGTTGAATCGCATTATACCAATAACACTTAAATATTGGCGGAAGCTGGCACACATTTACTATAAACGGTTAGGAGGAATAGTGGGGCGCGTCTTCGTGGATTGCAAAATCAGTACATGTCATTAATAATACTCATCAAATCAATTCTAGTTGTACTAGGTACTCACAATGACTTTAGTTTCGGCATTTTAGTCAGATCTTCCACCACAATGTGGTTCAGTCTTGGTGCGTTGATTATAGTTCTGCAAATAAAAAAAGGGTATGATTAATTTTCTACAGTAGCAGCAATGTCAATGGTTTCCATCTTAATGTGATGCAGAATGTCGGATCGAGTGAGATGTACTCTAATTGTGCAAGAAGTGATGCCTTTATTTATGTGGATACCTCGCTCTAACAACAGAAATTAGTTTCATCATAAGCCTATTAATGTCCCCATTGCTGGGGCACAGGCCTTCCCTTTGGATGGAGTAAGGAGATTGGGCCACGCGGGCCCATAGCGGATTGGCGGGTGTTAACGACTGCAGATGCAGCCGGGACCAACGGCTTAACGTGCCTTCCGAAGCACGGAGGAACTCGAGATAGAAGATTTTTGGTCACCCATCCAATGACCGACCATCGTGAAAGTTGCTTAACTTCAACGATCGCAGGTGAACGGGGTAACCACCTGCGCGCCATCGAGCTCCTCGAACAACAGAAATTGGTTTAAAATTTAGTACGGTACGGCCTTAGGATTCAAAATGGGTAATTCAAGCAGTTTCGTCGTTCTCCAAAAATTATTTTTGTCATTACAGTTGCATCATGTTCATAATATGAATAGGTAGGTACTAGACTAGAGAATCTGTATGGGAAACGCGCGGATCCGCATCGCATCCGCATCGGATCCGCGCGTAAAAATTGTACAGAATAGCACTGCTGTTAGTACTTCTGCAATAATTCATCAAAGAACTGTTATTTGACGAATTGCCTAAGAAAATAAGTTCGGGTTCACATCTCACTAATATTATAATGTGAAAGTTTGTATGTTTGTTACACAATCACACAAAAACTACTGAACGGATTGGTATGAAATTTGGTACGCATATAGTTATAATTAATGACCTGGTTCGATACGAAAGTACGTACGTAAATGGAAATCGAATAGTTTGCCAATCCGAAATGTCATTGTCAAATGTGCACTGATTTTTAGTTCTCGTTACGTCCGTTATGGCGCTGCTGTTCAAGTTTTCATACATAATTTGATAATGACATTTCGCACTCGCAAACTATTTGAATTCGATATTGATTCGTGCTAAGGGTACTGAAAAGGTATCCACTCAGCACAACATAGGAGCATTATGGCGATGCTTCGAAGCTGGTCTTCCCGCTTCCGCAGATGCAATACCACCGTAAAGCCATCTTAATGATCGGAGGAAGTTAGATCATAAAATCGCGGGTGACCCAACGAACTTCGTACCGCCATAAAAATAGGGGCAGGTGGTAGAAGAGAAAATTTAAGGTTGTATGTATTTTTTAGGGTTCCGTACCTAAAAAGGAAAAAACGGAACCCTTATAGGATCACTTTGTTGTCCGTCTGTCCGTCCGTCCGTCTGTCAAGACCGTTTTTCTCAGGAACACGTAGAGGTATCAAACTGAAATTCATATATAATACTCAGGAGTACTGTCCCTTGGAGCTGCGAAAAAATCAAACTTCTAAGCCAAAGCAATCAAAAGATACAGCCGTTTATGTCGCAAATTTTCGAAACTCGCACGGGAATCAAAACCTACAGGGTACTTCCCGTGAACTTAGAATCTTGAAATTTGGTACGAAGTAACGTCTTATAGTACAGATAAAGGAAAAATTGCGAAAACCGTAAATTCTTAGTTACATCCTATAATTTTTTTTTTAATAATTATTAAAATATACCTAGAGGTTTGTACGGAACCCTCGGTGCGCGAGTCCGACTCGCACTTGGCCGGTTTTTAATTTCCTAGGATAACATTCCTCCTAACCCATATGAGAACACTACGTTACAATACCCAATAGTTTGAATTTTGGCGCGAAGGCGCATTGTAGATTCCAGAACACTACGTTACAGGTGGACAACCATTATCACTTATGGATATGAAAAATAGATAGTAGCCGATTCTCAGAACTACTGAATATACATATCAAATTTTGGTAACTAACATTGTGACATGAGAATTTTATATATAAGATTAGGATCCCCAGAGTGAGAATAACTAACAAGTGCTGTATTTCGTGCAGGTGGTAGCCGGCCATGTGAATGCTCCTGGCGCTGAGGACTGTGATGTTGGTGTTGATCAGCTCGGCCATGCCGCCAGCGCTTTTCCCCTGCACCTCATCACAAGATGATCTTCTCACTGCAAAGATATAAAAAAAAAACATTAGATATATTGATAAATTACAAAAATTATAAATAATTAAGAGAGGAGAAAAATTATAATAATACGACCCAAAAACCTTCAAAAAAAGAGCGTACTCCTTCCTTAAAGGCCGGCATCGCATTTGTGATACTCCTGGTGTTTCAAGTGTCCATGGGCGACGGTGATCACTTACCAGCAGGTGAGCCGTCTGCTCGTATGCCCCCTATAACATAAAAAAAGGAGGCTATGCTCTTTCGAACCCGAGACCCGAGCACGAACTTTGACACATCCGTACCCTTAGCAAGAACCATTATCGAACTGGAATGGTTTGCGAGTCCGAAATGGCACTGTCAAATTTTGTATCGAAACTTGAACAGCAGCGCTAAAACGGACGTAACGAGAACTAAAAATCAGTACATATTTGACCATGACTTAGCACGAACCAAAATCGAATTCGTATCGTTTGCGAGTCCGAAATGTTATTGTCAAAAGTGTACTGATTTTTAGTTCTCGTTACGTAGTTTGTGCTGTTGCTGTTCAAGTTTCATTAATTTGACATTGACATTTCGGTTTGCAAACTATTCGAATTCGATAATGGTTCGTGCTGGGGGTACTGATTTTAAGTTCTCGTTACGTCCGTTGTGGTGGTGGTGTGAAAAGTGATCTTGTTTTTACAGAATGCACTGGCTGAGATCGCTAGAACTTTTTAGATTTTCTTAATCCCTGATTTCACCGGGATCTAAGCCTCTGAAAAAAGTTCGTAAGGCGGCGGTGTGCGCTATCACACCAACTCAAAATTTTCTGACATCAAATCTCAAGTGATTTTCCTGATAAATTTGATATTTAGGGTCTAGTTATAGATACGGACACGAATATTAATAGTACCTAACCGGTTTCATATACGTGCGCGAATTATCTAAGATTGCACGATAATTTTGGATAGCTTCAGATACTTACGGATATTAGATTAGATTGTTAAGGAATTGCAAAAAAATAACTACCTATCTTAGCGTTAATTTATGTAGAAATCTATGTAAATAACACAGCTGTGTACCGAATCTGAAATCGTTCTGTCAATTTAACGTGATATAGAGTAACAAGTATGTAAACATGTCGGTAATATTTAGAAACACGTCATAAATTTTCCATTGATTTTAACGTGCAATTTTTAAAAGGTCTGAAAGGCCGCGGTGTTTTTACGATAAGTCAACAATAGGTAGGTACTAGCGAAGCATAGATATCAATTCTTTTTCATCCATTATAGTTTATTTCCGAGCTAAGATTGAAGCGAACAGATAAATCAGTATCAAAGGAAGGAAACATCAATCTATTTTCGACGCAAAACACTTGTTTTGGATACATAGCAGCGCAGCTAGGGTTGGCAGACATATCTACTGATAAATACAGTATCTAACAATATTCAGTTTTTTTATGTGTAACATCTTCTCTCGCTTTCCTGCGATTTGTGGGCGTGATTTCGTGAAATGGGACGGAAGTGTGTAACAGAAAGTCGCAAAAGCGCGAATTTTAAAACATTATGTTCTAAAATCAAATAGCTGATTTGATTTTAGAACATAATGTTCAAATGGCTTATTCCTTTTGTGGTAGGTTTTATTTCTTTTTTACAAGCTTTTATTTTGCAATGTATGTTTGTTCGGGTCAAATCTTACAACTCAATTTTAAAGCACTTGCCCTCAACTGATTAAGCTGAAATTTGGTATGCTCGTTCAGTTCGGCTGACAATGCATGATTAACAGTGTGACTTCATTCTAAATCCAATATGGTGGCATACCCAAAATGGCGGACCAATCATTTTTAATGCATTCCTACAATATGGGTATCAAATTAAAGGGCTTGCTGAGAGTAACGCGAGAGTACTCGTATTTACTTGCTGCCTATTAAAATTTTAAAACTAAGGAAGTAAATACGAGTACTTAAATCTCGCGACAAGCTTTTATAACATATAAATTGTATCAAATGTGTTAAATTTGAAACGACGTTATAAGTTAACAGTAAAAGTTTTAGTGTATAGGTTTATTTTTTTTCTTTTTAGCGCATTTATATAAAAACTTGTTTTTAAAAAGGTTTTTTTAACCTTAATTTTATTTACTAATATAAGGTGAGGTTTTCAAATGTTACACATCATACGCGACTACTGTAAGGGTGCGGCCAGAGTGCACTCAGATTCAGATTCAGATTCCGAAAACAAGCGCGAGAAATAAACAGTGTTGTCAAAGGGTACGGCCAGAGTGCACTCCTGATTCAGATTCAGATTCAGACTAAGGGTGCGGCCAGAGTGCACTCAGATTCAGAGTCAGATTCAGATTCTGAAAACAGGCGCGAGAAATAAACAGTGTAGTCGAAGGGTACGGCCAGATTGCACTCCTGATTCAGATTCAGATTCAGACTCAGAAAACAAAGCGCGAGAAAAAGCAGGCAACCTGCTTCGACAACACTGTTTATTTCTCGCGCTTGTTTTCGGAATCTGAATCTGAATCTGAGTGCACTCTGGCCGCACCCTAAGGCTCGCTCGTTTTTTTTTATTATAATGTATCATTATACTTGTAGATTTTACATATCGTCTGCTTAACAAGAAATTTTGCTAACTCCACTTTTGGGCAAAAATTATCTAACAATGGCGTTTGTTTCCTTTAATGTGAACACATCGTTTACGTAAATTTGGCAACTCCATGCAAGGACGTATAAAAAAAGGCGGACAGAATTTCGGCTAAGACAAAAGTGAGGCACCGTAATGGCGGCGGTTATCTATGAGTGAGTGAATGCAGGGTTGCTAGGTTAGCCAATATTTTACCAATAAAACACAGTAAAAAGATCAAAATATTTTAATTGTTCAAAATTTTACCCGACTGCGGTGGATAATGTTTTTCGAGCGTGTATGCATGTATGTATGCCCAATAATAAGGCGCCAAAATGAAACCTTTAGAAAAAAAATGCTTATAACCCGTCAAGCGAGGTATCAAAGTAAAGGGTCTTAAAAGAATGCAGTGGATCCCCGGTAGTCCGACAAACATTTTGCAGGGCAGTGTCGAACTATCGAATTTGTCGGATTATAGAGACTGCCTAAGACCCCCTATAGTCCGAATTTTTTTACAAAAGAGTACCTTGTAATCCGACAAATTACAGATCCAATGATAAGATTACAAAACATACTTTGTTATGTATGTCAAATTGAGTAAATTAAACAACACAATAGAAAGATTATGTTTTATTATAAAAGTAACGTCAAATGCTATAGAATTTACAAAAAAATATAAAAAACAATACCCTACGCGTCGAGCACAATTATGATGGTGCGTACAAGTTGTAACTTGTTCAATCGTGAATTAGCGAATACTTGTATGTAATAGACGATGTCGGATTATAGGGGGTGCCGCATTAGCCAGGGGCCGGATTACCGGGGCTCCACTGTATTTAGAAAATAGGTATGCAAATCGTGTACTTAAAAAAAAATCGTGTTGCACTCGGGGACTGCCGCGGTAAAGCTATTGCATAGCATTATTTGTCAACTTATGCAATAATACTATTTATTTATGCAGTATTTTTTTTCTTTGATATTAATTCAAGTTTTTTCTCTGATATTAATAGATGGCGAGGCAGGCCTTATGATATTTTATTGGGCAAGCACAGCAAACAACAGCATTGCCCGGCGCCAAAAAACTTCCACATGCTCCACAGTTTACCACCTTTAGTCCAAAAATTATAATTATAAAGTCTAAATAAAAGGGAGACAAATAAAAATAAGAACAGGTGCTGGGGTCTAAAACAAATATATAAAAAATGGAAAAAAAATATAATAAAAAATAAAACACGAGTGCGGGATTTGAACCGACGACCGCGGTGATGCGTCGAACGTTGGTCCCGTGGCAAAAATTTAACACACTGCACCGTTTCGATTGATACTGGAAAGGCGAAAATTGTGTTCATACGCACTGTTTTTAAGTTGGCATTGATCGAAATGTTTTGTTTAAATATTATCGTTAGTAATATTATTTATCGTTGAAAATATTTTAAAACTTTTGTTTCATTGTAGGTTTTTTTAAATAATCAAAGTTAATTCAAACTATTATATATAACAAATATTGACTTTTTTTATATTCCACTTTTTTTTCAACACCGAACTTAGCGCACTTTGCTGGTGCATTTGAAAACTAATTCACGTTCCAATTAATCATCAGCATAATTCGGCATTGGTAGCCACTGAGTCGCATTATGCTCTGTAATTGGAAAACTAACATGAAGTCTGTTTTTATTTTTGTATGAAAAAGTTTATATTTTCCACTTTTCATAAGCCAGAGTAAATCACCTAAATATGCCTGGCCAGGCCTGCATTCTTTTTTATATTTCTTAAATTAACAAAACATGCATTGAGTACTGTTTGTAATTGAGGAGTTCCATTGTTTCCCTCCGAAAATATTCATCAGCTCTGCACTTAATTAATACAGCTATCTCGCTAATAAACTGATTCAAACAAAAAAATAATCATCAAAATCGGTCCACGAATCTCGGAGATATGCACGAACAACAATTGAAAAAAAAAATAACAAATATGACGTATAGAACCTCTTTCTTTTTGAAGTCGGTTAAAATTTTTAATTTACCTTTTGAGGTACTGCATGCGTAACAACACGCCGGAGTCCTCTTTTAGTAGTATATAAGTCTCCAGCTTCAAAATGGATACTGCAAATGATACTATATTTATTTGGAATACATTCATCATCTCCGTTACAATTCCTAATAACTTGGATCCAGTCATTTCTCCATTCTACATTTTCTTTAGGGAATCTGATAAAAAAGAATAACAAATAATAGATTGAAGCTAATGTCACCCCAATTCCCATATTTTAGGTAATATGGTTACGTGAACATTGACAACACTGGACTTTAGATTAATTATTTTGTGCTTAGAATGAAAATTGATTTCGATTTCTAAAAACTAGAAAAAAGTGATTATATTGTTCATTTACCTATGAAACGTG